AAAAAAAAAAAGAAACTATTTGCTTAAATATTCAAAGTAGATCACAGATTTACTCACACCACAATTTAAACTTCAGGCAAAAATGCAGTCCCTTTATTTTGTGTACTATCAGCCTGAACTTAAAATCCCTAACTTTCTGGGTGGCAGGAGGAACGTTTTATTCAACTGTTTTTAAATTTCAGCAAAAATTTAATAGTCTATGTCCTGAGTACACTCTTTAGATAAAAATTCTCAGGTTTTCAGTCACTCGACTGACCTCCTCCCACCTCTCTAAGACAGCAGTTCATAAAAAGAGAAAATGGTGCTCAGACCTGCTGTGGTTTCTGGGTTCTGCTCTGCTGCTGTGTACCCGATGGCCGTGTAACATGTTGTTGAATGTTTTTGTCAGTGATCATGAAGACAGGCTCCCATCTCCTTCTCAGTCTTTACAAAATAGTAGCCAGCTAAAATCCTTAACTTTTTGGTGAGTAAGTGTGTAGAAAGACGAGATCCTGAAGGTAGAAGCTGCGTGAAAATGGAGAGGTGTGATAGATGGAAACTGCCAACTTTCCGCTACCAAATCTGCAAATCTGCCTTCATCCACACCTGGCTTTTTTCATACTGTTGTTTCAGTGCAGCATATATTAGAATCACCCGGAAGGCTTGTTAAACCCCAGATTTCTGAGTCCCAACATAGAATTTCTGATTCAGAGAGTCTTGAATGGGGCCTGATATAATTTACATGGCTGACATTCTCAAGTGATGCCAATGCTGCTGGTCTAGGCAAGTGATCATGCACAAAAAGCCAGTTTAACAAGGCAAACTTAAAAAAAAATTTGTTTTAATGTTTATTTATTTTTGAGAAAGAGAGAAACAGAGTGTGAGCAGGGGAGGGGCAGAGAGAAAGAGAGAGACACAGAATCCGAAACAGGCTCCAGGCTCTGAGCTGTCAGCACAGAGATTGACTCGGGGCTCCAATCCATAGTGGGCGAGATCATGACCTGAGCCAAAATCTGAAGTCACTTAACTGACTGAGCCACCCATGCGTCCCTAACAAGGCAAACTTAAAAAAAAAAAAAAAAGTTTCTTTACACTAAAAACCATATTGAGAAAAATGTGCAAAATATTCAAATGGTAATTACATGTCTTTCTCTTGGTGTTTGCATTTTGTAAGAGATATCATGTAAAGTGACATAGGTACCTGTCACTGTCAAAGTTAAATCAAGGGAAAATTTATAGGTCAATTGCTTTTACTATCCTATTGAATTTAGGGTACAGTCTTTGGTGAGAATATTATTCTTTGTTATCAGTTTCTTTAATGAAATTTTCTTGTTATGCTATTTATCCTTTTTTTTTTTTTTTCTCCAGCCATTATATGTCTCCCGAACTGTGGTTTGGCTGTTTGAAAACTGGAATAAAGATAGGTTTCATAGAGCTGAAATTCTCCAAGAATTCATCAAATAATTTAAACTATAATATATTTCACAATAATTTAATGATATTATCAAGTATATAAAACCCAAATTGAAATACTTAACTTCTAATCACAGCTTCACTTGAAATTGATAAACAGGGGTGCCTGGGTGGCTCAACGGTTGAGCATCTGACTTTGGCTCAGGTGATGATCTCACGGTTCATGAGTTCAAGCCCTGCGTTAGGCTTGCCACTGTTGGCACAATGCCAGCTTTTGATCCCGTCCCCCTCTCTTTCCCTCCCCTGTTCATTCTCTCTCTCTCAAAAATAAATAAACATTAAAAAAAGAAAATGATAAACAAACTTGGTTTATATGTCAATACTTCACACTCTATGATTTGGAAACATTATTTTCTTTTTTTCTTTCTTTTTTTTTTTTTTCCAACGTTTATTTATTTTTGGGACAGAGAGAGACAGAACATGAACGGGGGAGGGGCAGAGAGAGAGGGAGACACAGAATCAGAAACAGGCTCCAGGCTCTGAGCCACAGCCCAGAGCCTGACGCGGGGCTCGAACTCAAGAACCGCGAGATCGTGACCTGGCTGAAGTCGGACGCTTAACCGACTGCGCCACCCAGGCGCCCCGGAAACATTATTTTCTAAAAACTTTTTTTTTTCCAAGTTTGTCTCTTCAGGTATTTGATCAAAAAGTTTTGGAGAATCCTCCACAATTATTTTCTAGAGAATGACAGCATACATCAATGTAAAAATTACTGTGAACAGTCCTACAGTGAATAAATTCAATTAATGTATTCACTCACAAATTTTGAATCCCTGATTTAGAAAGTACATTTTGTATTTGGAAAGCTCTCAACCTCTATGGAGTCTAACCTGGGAATTGACATCAAAACAGAAAGTGAAAAAATGTGTTTGTATTTCATATTGGTATATATATTTGCTTGAATATGTTGCCAACTGCACTAAACTTTAGCATGAAGAGTATTAAGCCCCTGGCAAGATTTCATTCAGGTGACAGTGTTTCTTTCTTTTTCTTTTTAAATTTTTTTAATGTTTATTTATTTTTGAGGAGAGACAGAGCGTGAGTAGGAGAGGGGCACAGAGAGAGCAAAACACAGAATCCAAAGCAGGAATCTGAGCTGTCAGCACAAAGCCCGATGCAGGGCTCAAACCCACAAGCTGGGAAATCATGACCTGAGCCAAAGTCGGACATTTAACTGACTGAGCCACCTAGGTGCCCCAGGTGACAGTGTTTGTAAATTTACTCCTTTGATTGTTATATGTCAAGCATATTAAACAAATGAAGGACCAATTGCTGAAAAATTAGTCACAGTTCATTAAGTTCAGGATTAAACACATTGAGTAATTCAGAAACAATGGAATTTTTATACTAGGATGAAAAATTAAGAAATTTGCTATATTAAGTGAAGTATCCACGCCTTTATATTCTTGGCAGAAAACAGGTAAACTTTAAACCAGTAATATTTTATAAACATAGATAACTGATTTAGTGTTTGAAATTTATTTTTTAGGGGCGCCTGGGTGGCGCAGTCGGTTAAGCGTCCGACTTCAGCCAGGTCACGATCTCGCGGTCCGTGGGTTCGAGCCCCGCGTCAGGCTCTGGGCTGATGGCTCAGAGCCTGGAGCCTGTTTCCAATTCTGTGTCTCCCTGTCTCTCTGCCCCTCCCCCGTTCATGCTCTGTCTCTCTCTGTCCCAAAAATAAATAAAAAAAAAAAAAAGTTGAAAAAAAAAATTTATAAAAAAAAAAAAGAAATTTATTTTTTAAATGAACTCAGTTTATTCATATACTATACTAGTATATTGTGGAATAAGCTTTATAAGAAATGAAGGGATTGTATGAAATAAAGTCAAGGTCAGGAGCACCTGGGTGCTCAGTCAGTCAAGCATCCAACTCTTGATTTCGGCTCAGGTCATGATCTCATGGTTCATGAGTTCAAGCCCCGCATCAAGCTCTGCCCTGACAGTGTGGAGCCTGCTTGTGATTCTTTCTCCCTCTCTCTCTCTGCCCCTCCCCTACTTGCGCACTATCTCTCCCTCTAAAAATAAATAAATAAGCTTTAAAAAAAATTTTTTTAAATAATGACAAGTCAGATAAAGAAAGGATTTGATCATAAAGTTTTTCAGGCAATGTGTTATAACTTTCTACAGAAAAAACAAAAAATGCACTAAACATCTCTTTAGGTTATTTCTATGTGCTTTAGATTGTTTCTATGTGCTTTTCATATAAAAATATGCCAGAAGCTCATTTTCATTTAAAAAGAAATGGTTGCATTAGATGTGACAAACTTTTAAGATCTGATATAATTTTTTTAGGCACCTGGAGTCCATTGATTGAATGGCAAGAGAATGCACCACCTTCTCTTTTATTTTAATAGCCAAATACTAAACTTCATTGGGAAGTGGCCCTATATCTCTCAGTTCTATTAGAACAAATAAAGGTCATCTTTAGGTAACAATATTTTGAGAATCCACTTAATATCTATGCCAGTGATGGAGTGCTACTTATGCTTGAGTTCTGCAACTAACGATAAGATAAAAATCAAAACTTGTTTTTATGTAGGTGTTAGATGTCTTTTAGACAGTTAGTGATTACTTCCAGGTATCACTGAGGCACAGTGAGCTGAAGATTCTCTTGACCCATATTCTCACACAACTTACACTCCCTCCTCTACACTCTAAAAGGCCCAAATTATTCCAGGAAGGTTGGGATCTTTGTGGAACATCTAATTACAATTTAGATGGAATCTGAACAAATTGATAAGACAAAGGGATGCAGGTAGAAAAGAAAGCATAATCTGTATTACTGTATTTATTACTTTACTACAAGTTGGAGAATGTATTTAGCACAAGGACTGAATGAACTCCCTAGCTAAACTCCAAATTTGAACAGACCTAAGCACCTAGTTCTGGATAAGACTTATGGATTGGAAGTAGTGAGGAGAATCTGTGCTATCTACAGACACCTGCCTCCCAAAGGAAAAAATGGGATGAGCTTATTTAAGCAAAGCATGCTTAATTTAGTTTTTTCAGATTGACCAGCTAGGTGAATCTAACTCTTTCCTTTGGGACACAATGAATTCGGTTGTCTCAATGTGGAAAGAGACAGGAGGAGTGTGGATGAAGTATTCTACCCTAACAATGTTATCTGAATGATATTCAGGGAGGTAACTATGATGTCATTGAACATATATCAACTCCTGAAGCAAGGGACCCCGGTGAGAATTTGGTTCTACCACTGAGATGCTATTTCACCTTCAGGAAACCACCCAACCTCCAGTTTTATCATTTGTAGATTAATTACAACATACCTACCTTTTAAAGTTATTTTAAAGGTTAAAACAAATAATGCATATCAAAATGTATGGAATGGGGAAAAGAGAAAATATTATTATTATATTATTAAATGGTATAGGTCAGTCAAGAGTGATTGAGCACTGTGCTAAGGATTGGAAATGTAAAGATGAATAAGATACAGTCTCTGACCTTGAGTCTCATGTAAAAAACAAAAATATGAACAGACCATTTCAGGCAAAAGGACAGGAATGAGAAATAGCCTGAATACTTATGGGTGCATTGAGGTATTATTCATTAAAAGCTCATGGGAATGTTTAAGTTACAAATTTTAATATAGACCATATGAATCCATAGAATAAAGAGCAACTAAGCTTTATGCCCTTGGCTTTCTTTCTATACTTACTTGCTCCTCTGACATTTATATGAACATAAATTCTATGAAGGCAAACATTGTACTATCTAGGTCATGTCATGTGGTGGTAACACTGGATTTATCAACATCAGGCTGCATATTGTGAAAACCTAGGAAGCAAGTCACAAGATCAGCAAGCTTATGGAATAAGATTATCATCTAAGATAAAAGCCAAAGCCAAAAGGTTGCTCCCAGTGCAATAAGAGCTTCAAAAAAATGCAAAAGGAGGGGTGCCTGGCTGGCCCAGTTGGTAGAGCATGTGACTCGTGATCTTTGGGGTCATGAGTTCAAGCCATACATTGATCATAGAGCTTACTTTAAAGATAAATAAATAAGCCTTAAAAAATGCAAAAGGAAAAATTTATGCAATAGCCCAGGGCAAAACCAAATAGGGATTAAAAATCACACACAAAAAAAGATACAGGAATTATAGATTTATACAGAAGAAAGTTAGTTTATTGAACTGAGATAGTCCAATCCCTCTCACTTCCTAAACAGAGGCAGGTGTCATATACAGGCAGCTGAAAATACTCTTTGGCTTACTGTTTTCAAAATTCTCTTATTTTCAAAAAGTGTAATAAAATATACATAACATAAAGTTTACCATTTTAACCATTTTAAAGAGTACAATTTGGTGACATTAAGTACATTCATGATGTCATGCAACAATTACCACTAACCATTTTTAGAATTTTTCATTATATCAAACAGAAAGTCTGTGTCCATTAAATAATAATTCCCTGTTCTTCCCTTCCTTTAGTCCCTAGTTACTTCTATTCTACTTTTCTCTATGCATTTGTCTATTCTTTTTTTTTTTTAAGTTTATCTATTTATTTTTGAGAGAGAGAGAGGGAGGGAGAGGCAGAAAGAAAATCCCAAGGAGGCTCCTCACTATCAGCACAGAGCCCTACATGGGGCTCGAAGTCACTAACGGTGAGATCATGAGCTGAACTGAAATCAAGAGTCAGGACTCTTAACCGGCTGAGCCACCCAGGTGTCCCTGAATTTGTCTATTCTAAATACCTAACATAATGAAGTCATGTTTGTGTTTTGACTTATTTCATTTGGTGTAGTAGTTATGATATGCATGTTGTAGCAGGGATCAGAATTTCATTCCTTTTTAAGGCTGAGAAAAATTCCATTGTATGGGTATACACCACTCTTTTTAAAAAAAAACACTCATTTGGGGGTGTCTGGGTGGCTCAGTTCTTTAAGCATCCCACCCTTGATTTCAGCTCAGGTCATGATCTCACAGTTCATGATATCAAGCCCCACATTGGGCTCCATGCTAATAGAAGCGAGCCTGCTTGAGATCCTCTCTCTTTCCTTCTTTCTCTGTCCCTCTCCTTCTTGAATGTGCTTGTTCTCTCCCTCAAAATAAATAAAATAAACTTTAAAATAAAGAAGCTGTTCTGTTTAAAAACAACAACAACAACATTTGGGGCCCCTGGGTGGCTCGGTCGGTTAAGGCTCCAACTTCAGCTCAGGTCATGATCTCGTGGTTTGTGAGTTCGAGTCTTGTGTTGGGCTCTGTGCTGACAGCTGAGCCTGGAGCCTGCTTTGGATTCTGTGTCTCCCTCTCTCTCTGCCCCTCCCCCACTCGTGCTCTTTCTCTCTCTGCCTCTCAAAAATAAATAAACGGTAAAAAAAAAATTCATTTGTTGACAGACATCTTGGTTGTTTCCACCTCTGGGCTATTGTGAATAATGCTGCTTCTATGAACACTGGTGTACAAACACCTGCTGAGTGCTTGGTTTCATTTTTGGGGGGAATGCACTCAGAAGTGGAACAGCTGAATTATATGGCAACCATGTTTAATTTGGGGGGGAACTACCAGAATGTTTTTCACCATAGCTGTACTACTCTACATTCCCATCAGGAATGCATGAGAGTTGCAATTTCTCCACATCCTCCTTATCACTTGTTATTTCTCTTTCTGTTTGTTTCTTTGTTTATTAATTACAGCCATTCCAATGGATGTGAAGTGATAGCTCATTATGGTTTTGATTTGCATTTCTCTAATGACTAACATTACTGAGCATCTTTTCATGTGCTTATTGGCCATTTGTATATCTTCCTTGGAGAAATGTCTATTCAAATTCCTTGCCTATTTTTGAATTGGGTTGTTTGTTTTGTTGTTGTTGTTGTTGAAGTATAGGAGTTCTTTCTATATTCTGAATTCCCATCCCTGTCAGTTATAGGATTTGCAAATATTTTCCTCATTCTATAGATTATCTTCTCACTCTCTTCATAGTGTCCTTTGATGCACAAATGTTTTAATTTGGATGAAGTCCAACTGATCTATTATTTCTGTTGTTGCCTGTACGTTTGGTGTCATATCCAAGAAATCTTTGTCAGCCTACTTTTAAAAGAAAGAAAACAGTAAGTAGAAACTAGAATGATGCCCAATTAGCTTTCACAATATTATTCATTATTTTTATCTTTCACTTTACTAAGTAAAATTTTTTAAATGATACGGAGAAAAATCACTAAACTTAGCTAAATGTATTTTTGTTATTGCATGTAGAATTGTTATTAAAACTATCAAAATCTCTAATAAAAATATACCTAACATTGTCACTGTGCTATTCCAAATAAAAAAGACAAACTCTTTCTTCCCATTGCAAACTTGAAAAATAATATTTTTATGAAATTCATGAAATGCTATAGTGCTTAGTTTGTAGTGATACATGAAAATGACTGGTTTTATTACTGATGGGGAAAATTGGCAAATATCTTGTGTTTCTTCTCAAATCTCAGTGTAATTTAAAGGTTAATTGTGCATCACAAACACAGAGTATTTATATTGGAGAGTTGCTTTCTTTATATTGCTATTGATCTAAATCCACATGAAGAAAAAAGGCATTAATTTGAGGGTAAGAGGTGTCAGAAATGATTCACAGATTTCATGGAGTGTCAGGAAATGGACATCACTATTAGTAGCTTTTATGAATACTAAGGGTGAAATTCTGAAGGAACTA